CCCCACCACGGCGTCAGTACACAGTCCCTGTCCCCATCCCCCGCCAAGGTACTTGTGCACAGTCCCCGTCCCCATCCCCCCCGCGACGACCCAGGACGCTGAGACAAGCCCCAGCGACACGGGGGAGGGGGAGGGAGCTCCAGAGAACTCCGACAATGGCCCTCTGTCCGCCTGGCTGTTTGCACTGGTTGGTGCAGATGACAGAGCGCTGCCTGGATCCAGCAGCTGGGCACCCAGTGGCCCGGCTGCGGGCTCCAGGGCCGAGCCCGCAAGGCACCTGACCACAGGGTCGCGTTGGACCGATGGCTACGGTTCTGACCTTCAGACCCGAATTAAACCCAGGCTCGGTCCTCTGCCCAAACAGTGGCCTGGGGCAAATGAACCTCTGCCCAGCCACCTCGTGGGGCAGTTGCGACAACCAAGAGACGGTAATGTCGCTAGTTGAGAGAGTGCCTATGTATTGTAGCTTCAAGTCTGAACAGTTTATGCTCCATGGAGAGTCTTGTAACAACCCAGGAGGCAAACTGTGTTGTCACCATTGTACAGAAGAGATGGAGGCACAGAAGGGCCAGTGGACCGACTGTAGCAAAGGAAAGGAAAAGCTAATGGGAGGGGCACTGGGAATTGAGCCTCAGGGCAATTTACCTCTGAGCTACACCCCAGCCCTTTTACTTCTTCTTCTTCTTGATACCAGGGATTGAACTCAGGGGCTCTCGATCACCAGGCCCGTCCCCAGCCCTATTTTGTATTTTATTTAGAGACAGGGCCTCACTGAGTTGCTTAGTGCCTTGCTGTTGCTGAGGCTGGCCTCCAACTTTGTGATCCTCCTACCTGAGCATCCTGAGCCACTGGGATGACTGGCATGTGCCACCGTGCCCGGCTTCTTCTTATTTTATTGAGACAGGATCTTACTAGGTTGCTTAGGGCCTCACAAAGTTGCTGAGGCTGGCCTTGAACTTTGGATCCTCCTGTCTCAGCCTCCGAAGCTGTTGGGATTACAGGTATATCCAACCATGCCTGGCAGAAAGAGATTATCAGTCAGCTATCGCTGCATAACAAATAACCCCAAAACTTAAAGGTGTAAAACAAAACATTCATTGATTCTCAGGAAACCATCAAGTGCGCCGGATGGTTCTATTCGTCTGGCTGGTCCTGGCTGTGGTCATTTGGTGAGTCAGCCTTGGCAGGGACATCTCTACCTTTGGAGTGAGTGTTCCAACCTGCTCCCCTGGGTCTATCCTCACGGCCGCAGCAGGATTCCAAGAGAGAAAACCATAACCACCCAGGGCTTGGTCCGCTCCTGCTTGGATCAGCTGTCTCTCTTCCACTTGTCAAAGTCATGTGACCCAGCTCACAGCCAGGGCAGGGGGGAAGGTGCTACCAAGGGACACGGACACGGGCCATCGAGAATAATTGGGACCATTACTGCAATCATCTACCACAAGCTTCATCCTCAGCCCGTGGGAACACGGTCTCCATGGCAACCACCAAGGGCCACTCTGAGCCCCCTTTGAGGCCAGCAAGGTCCGTAACCTATCCACCAGACGGATGTCCTCATTTCCTAGCCCAGAGAGGTTGAACGACTCCTTGGAGGTCACACAGCAAGCTCAGGCAGCCGGTAAGGAGCTGAGTTCCCCYGTTGTGTCTGCAGCGCCGGGTGACTGCTGGGGTTTGCTGCAAACATTCAAATTATTTCTTAATTGGAGTCTCCTGCTTAATTGGTGCTTCCTGAGCAGACCGTGCTCCACGGGCTCAAAACCTCAATCAACACCATCATCTCTAAATTGCTGAGAGCTCACTCTTCTCATCTTCTCCACACGACGACGCATCATGGGTTTTGCTCAACAGGACAGCCGGAGAGGGGACAGGGACATGCAGTCCGCCTTGGCAGAAAGAAAGCCGCTGTTCTCGCCGCCACCCGCTGTTCCAGAGACTTCTTAGTGCTTCATGGCTACACACTGTGGCGGGGGCGGGGTTGGGAGTCAGGATTGGGAAACAGGCAGACAGAGTTGGACTCCAGGATGTACCACTAACTCCCCGTGTCACCGTGGGGGACGTCTCTGCCCTCTCTGGATCCCACTGACCACTCAAAGTGTCYCCCAAGTCCAGGCAGGTGGCGCATACTTGTCAGCCCAGTGGCTGGGGGAGGCTGAGGCAGGAGGATYGCAAGGTAGAGGCCAGCCTCAGCAAAAGCGAGCCCCCCAAGCAACTCAGCGAGACCCTGTCTCTAAATAAAATAGGAAATAGGGCTGGGGACGGGGAGGGTTGACTACAGGAACGTTGGGGGCCATCATCCACCACTGAGACCCGCACCTTCTAGAAACTACACCCCGCAGCAGCAGAAGTATAAAACTCAGTGTTTGTCGGCAGGAAAAGAAGATGGAACTTCATCTCTCAATCTCTGCTTTCAGTATGTGCCTGGCCATATTTGGAAGCTCAGCACTGAACTTTTGCTGAGGCTGGCCTCCACCTTGCGATCCTCCTGCCTCAGCCTCCCGAGCCACTTGGGGTACAGGCGTGCACCACCGGGCCCAGCTGGTCATTGGATTTTTAAGGAAACCCCATACTGGTTCCCAAAGTGTGCCAGCGATGCACACGGATGCCGATTTCTGTTAGTTCTTCAACAGACTTATTTCCTGTTTTCARTGGTAGCCCGCAGGTAGGAGGCAGCATCTTATTGGGGTTCTGATTGGCGTTTCCTTAATACCCGTGCTTTCGCAGCCTGATGTGACAGGCCCTCCCAGGAAGCAGTGACATCTCCGGAGTCCTGCGCCTTGCTTTGGTAGTTACAATATGACAGGCGTGAGCTCACGCCCATTCAGGCCTCAGAAGGATCTGTGTGCTGAAATCCAGCTCTAGRGATGAAACCCAGTTCCCAGGTCCACTGGCAGGTGGCATCCGTAGCTAAGAAACATCAGAGCTCCTGAGGGTGGGGCATGCCCTCAAAATGTCATAGCAATCCCCGGCAGCAGCTCACCACCCATCTCTGCCCTCTGGGTTCTCGCCCTGGTGAGTTTGCAGAAGGAAATTCAGCCAGGAAGAGCGAGCGTTAAGAGCCGAGTATATTCTAGACTATGGGGACAGACTCTTGCCTTGCAAGACAGGCGCTAACAGCCGGTGGAGAGCTGGTGGCAATTGTTCAGCAAATCACCGTCATCKCCTTTACAGAGCCGGAGGCCCAAGTCTGCATTGACGTTTTGCTGTTTTGCATTTGGTCACCTAGAAACCAGAAAAATAGCTTTATGCAAGGAGTTGGGTGGTTGCCGTGGTGGCCCAACATGGGATCCGCTCAGTAAGTTGGAGCCCTGTTGATGTCCAGGGGCCTTTATTAGTTAATGAAGTAATAAAATTTCAATGCAAAAAGCACGCCTGTCATCCCAGCGGCTCCGGAGGCTGAGGCAGGAGGATGGAAAGTTGGAGGCCAGCCTCAGCCACTTAGCGAGGCCCTCTGCAACTCCGCAAGACCCTGTCTCTCAATAAAATAGAAAATGGGGCTGGGGATGGGGCTCAGGGGTGAAGCAGCCCTGGATTCAAACCTCAGTGCCCCGCCCCCCAAGAAAAAATTTCAAAGCAAAATAATTGTACTTCCATGGGGGGAATCATATGCAGAGCTGAAGTGGACATGCGTGTGTTCAATCGTCAAGCTAAGATAACCTGTCCATCGTTTCAGAAATGAGTTGTCCCTTTTCCATGCATTTTCTTGTCCACTAGAGGCCACCACTGCTCCGACTGAAGGATTCCTAGGGCCGGCTCAAGTTCAAGTGCAAGGACTCTCACAGTCCGCATTATTTTATCTTTTGATTTGTTCTCACTTATCCATGACAGCAGCGTGCATTCTGACATCTCCCACATCCACGGAGCATAAAGAAGGGCCCAGACTTAGCAATGGTTAAACTTGTGATTTCTTTCTTTTCTTTTCTTTTTTA